ACCTGTTAACGTTATGTCAATCCTTCCACAAATGTTGTAAATCTAATTGAACAAATACTGAAATGAAATAGATTATGCTGTAGCCTCAAAATGCATTACATTACTTTAGCTGTGAGGGAATGTTAATATATCACATAGCCATTATTAGGGAGCCGGCAGAAACTATAGAGGATGGCACCCAGGCTATTGTTTAATATCATTGTGAATATGTGTTCTGGGACTGAGACAGCATTGACTATATCAAGAAAGAGAGAGAGAGGGGAGAGAGAGAGAGAGAGAGAGAGAGGTTTCTGAGAGAGAGACAGAGAGAGTATTTAAGGTTCATTGAATGTATACGGTATACATATACATGTATGTATGTATGTATATATGTATATGTATGTTTAAATATTTGCCTGTTGATTTGAAAAAAAAAAGGATTCGGGTTCTGAATCAACTTCAAAATGCTCATATTTTGGTCCAAATGGTTGAAGAAAGCTATTTGTCTTCCTACTTGTTACAGTTTATCCATCTACCAGTATATAATACAATAGATTCGATTTGATGAAATGTTAAAATCCATTTCAATTGTAGACCAGCCTGGTACATTTCTAAATTGACCTCAGGGCACCTATTATAGTCTTTAGGGGCTATCAGAGGATGCCTAGGTCTGTTTTTTTTGCCCTCCGCTTCATATTTTTTCTGAAATAATCCAAGAACCAACAAATCAAACTGGCATTGCCTTAGTCTAGTTGACAATATACAGCTATGAGTATGAAGAAATGTCAAACTCAAAGCTCTGCACTTATCCTTTTCTCAATTAGTATTACTTTAGACCACTGCAATAAGCTAAATTGGCCTTTCAGATGTTTGTAATTTTTTTTTACAGCTTTCGAAATCTTCTTCTAGATATTATGGTAGAAAAAATACCGAAACTCATCATTAGCCCTGTTTGATTGTAATACTCACGTTAGCCCCTATTGTTTTTAGTAATTAGGATGTTAAGTTTTATTCTATACCTGTTTAGAAATATGTTCAACAATAGTTGTTGCCATACATTGTACCATGTATTGTATAACTGTCGTGCAATAAAGTTCTTGATATTTCAAAGCACCTGCATATGATTTGAGAACTAATTCAATGTCAGAAACAGCATATCTAACAATCCTCCAGACAACTAATGCTGATACTTTATCAGTTTCTCCATCAGCAGTTGCACTAATCTGGCAGCTTGTCACAGACACAATACCCCCTTGTACCTAATGTTATGTTACCACCACCACCACCCCCCTCTCCTCCCAATTGAATGTGTGGGGCCACCACCTGCTTTGTTTCTGTGAGCCTTAGTGTTGCCACAGACAGCACTTCCTGAATTGTTGATACGCGGCAGATACCGTAGGCAACTGACGTCTTTTGGATATACAGGAGTTGAAAGGCCAAGCTGCCATTGGAAGGCCATAGATAGCCCATCAGCGAGTGCTGCCCTGCGAAGGCCCTTTGCCATGGTAACAAAATGGGCCTTATCTGTGTTGACTCCTAATGATAAAGTTGACAAAACAAGGTGGCTGACGCCCCTTTATAGTTCAGGAGGCCTGCTTCCACCAATCTTAACATTCCACACTCGCATGGAGTGACAAATTAGTTGGGAAGGCGAGATTTGTTTCGAACTGTCCCAAACAACTGTTTCCCCACGACTGTTTGCTTTTAAACGTGAGAAAAATTCCATCTGGAATGGTCCCGGCCCACAATCTATGGAGCATATCAAGCCAACAGCTGCGTTATCCTGGCATGTTAAGGTCCCACCATTCAAACACCCAGGCACGAGAGAAAATAGCCATACCATAAACTTAGCTTTATCTGCCTGGCCCTTTCCTTGTGTAGTCTAAGTAGTTTTTGCACCAAGGGACCCCGCCTTAAAACTTCATTCCAAAGTCAAACAAGCAATCATTCATCGAGATGCTGACAAGATAAGGTCCAATCTCATTGATCTGCCAAATTACCACAGGTGAACTTGCCTTTTTTGTCCCATTGTAGCAGAACAATTTAAGCTTCAAGGTGTGCAGGCATAGTCTTTTTCACAACCACCGTGCGTTGTTCCCGCACGAAAATTCACCGAAAAAAGTTGCCATTTTGCCGCAGCTATTTGGCGCTGGCCGATAATGCCGTGGCACAGGTTGGATTTATAGCGCCGAGATGAAGCGATATGATTCATACAACAATGCAGACACATTTTACCTTATCGGGGCTTTTTATCAAAAGGCACAGAGCAACATTTGGAAACAGGGAGTCTGGAGAGGCCCTATTTATCTTCCACTATCAAGGCTTCACCGCTAATCTTCCACGCTCTGGCCAAGAATCCTGTTTATCACATTTTTGTAAAATCATGGATGATTATCTGGAAAGGCTCGGAATGCAAATTGAATACCAAGCAACCCGATAGCCTATCTTATTTATTAATATTACCTTCATTATCATCGGTATCTCCCGGCAGATCTGGGCAAATGGAAAGGCTCAACTTTTATTTATCATGTGAGAGTGGGGACAAGAGGCCGGGGCCAGGTGGAGTGGTAAATGCAGTGCAACCACTTTGCCCTGTCTTAAAGTACACCTACAAGGCTCTGGAGGAATCTCAGTGCCTCCGGGTGCCTGCAAGTGGAAAGTACGGGCATAAGTCAAGAAGCCCGGTCTCGCCCGGCATCTTCTGAAAGGAGAAATTTGCAGGATTAATTCTTTTAATCCCAAATTCAATTGTTTTCTTCTTTTTTTTTCTAACATGTTAAGATTTAGGAATGCAATTCAGTATTCAGAAAAGTCAAAAGTGGAAAGTATAGATAAAGCGCAGGGTAAGCCGGCACATTCTTTTTCTAAAACGATAAATTAGCAGGATTAATTCCTTTATTACATTATTTTCTTATTTTTGTTCCCAATACGTGAAGTTTTAGGAATGAAACATGATCACTCGGTATTCATATTAGTTAAAACGCAAATATTGATTCTGTGCACAAGTTGTGTGATGCTAAATTTTTCTTAACAAGACGTATCTTTTAATACGGTGCATTACCTTCCATCATATTTAATTTGCAAGAGAAACGTAACAATTACCACCCCAAGCACTAACCTAAATACTGCTATCAAGACAGAAGAACAATTGGCGCTATTAATGCTAACACGTTATAATAACTTCCTCACTTTTGCCATTACCTGTTTATTACATAATATTTCTAGGGTTGATGTAGTTCCAAGGTAAAATCACCAGATGAAATTGTCAATATTTGATAACCACTTTCAAAAGAAAGTGTCTCGGCAACCGAAAATGATAGGCACATCCAATCTTTGTATCGTGTACACAAATGGGCTTCTCGGGTCCATAGATTCTAGCGAAAAAGACAGCAACATTCGTTACGAAGATAAGATAAAGTTTTATAGTTTTATCTCCAACCTACAATACCAACCGTCTTTTCATACATCTATCAAAGGAAGACGTATCCTTCAAACTTTTCTCTCAAGTTCTATGGAGTCGAGAGATGGGCAGTTAAGACAACACTGTTCATGCCAGGCTTTCTCGTTCATAGTTTTAGGCAAAGTTTCACTAGTAAAAAAAAATAGGTCATTGATGGTGAACCAGATTTTAATAGCTGTGACAATGGATACATTTTCATTGTCTAATAATCCCGCAATGAGTGCAGGGCTAGTAAGTTATCACCTTTTGTGCAGTATTTCACTGAAGGCCATTTGCTGTGCAGTGTAGGCTAACCCATCACCTGGCAACACTATCACAGGAGATAATCACACTGATAGAACTACAATGTATGGCAGGAGCGCCTGGCTACAACAAGGGCACTGGAAAACAGCAAAGGACATAAAAGAAGGGGTTTTAAATGTAGGGACTCGCGGGCCTGGCCATTAGTGGTTTGTGCTAACCAGGTCGGAACAAAATACTTATTGAACTGACCGTGATAGATAAATTAGCAATTACCGGGGCAATAAAGTCATTGGAATAATTAATTTTAGGTGTGATAGCGCCGATCTGTTTACGGAGCCGGTGTTAGAATCGTGCCGTTTGTCCAAAAAGGCCGGGTTTGTGACCAAAAAAATCGCAGTTTGAGCTGGCTTGATGGCAGGGCAACCTACTTGGGGCCTCCGCTGTAAACATAGCGATAAGACATGAGGTACGGAGTCATATCCGCCCTTATCTCATAATGGATCGTGCAGGCTTATCAAGTCTCGAATCTATAGACAACAGCAGCAGCACATTGCCCAGGCACCATGCAGGCTGCCGCCCCCAGGCGCGGGGTAAAAGCCGCGGCAGCACAGCCAACTTCCCTTGGATAAAACGGGCGTCGTCGGGACGCTACGCTGCACGGATCTTGCCGATAAGGGCGACAGAAATGCTCGGTGGAAAGGAAGAGCCGTGCCCAAACCTTTTCTCGTCTCCCGCCACTTTCCCGAGATATGTTTGCGATGTTGATGTAGAGATAGGCCTATCAGTCTGGCAGCTGCACAGGCGAGCCCCGTGATGTACGTGTCTCTACCACACCGCGACTCGCCCGGGACGTGAGCGGCCTCGCACCCCGAGGAAGCCCGCCCGAGGCACGCGGCCTGTGCCCGTGGGTACATCACGGGGTCCCCCCCACACCTTCCCAGCACAACTTCAGAAGTCCAAGTTGTGAACTTAACGGTGCATCGCACACGGGGCGCACCGTGCCCCCAACATCACCCGGACACGCGCGGATCAAAACATTGCCGATATCACGTTAACATTTCTACTTAGACGGCGTCTTTCACTCGCTCCTAATGGATCAGGAATGGGGAAAGTCTCATGGATCACTTGTAAGGAAACTCTTTCGATGACAGAAGAGAACAACAACAAGGAAACAAAGTTCAGGCAAACTTTGACGCTCTGAAGGCCCGGGGTAGCCCGGCCTAAGTGACATCACTCTGCAGACGACACTCTCAACACAGCCAGAGTTTTCCCCGGGTTTTGTCGCACACAATGAGGACAAAGGGATCGGAACACTTACGCTTGAGGTGCTTTGGGTTGCGCTGTTTCCTTCGAGACATGTTGTTGTGGTGTGGTGGCGTGTGTCGAGGGCCGGGCGGGACGGGAGACAGGACTTGGCCCGGGCCAGGTTCACACTAAGCGCGCTTGCCGCTCTCTGCCGGGCCGCCGCCTGGGCATGCGTGCTGCCGGCCCGGGCGCTACCATGACGCCCGCTCTGGGGGGAAACTACTAGTATTCTATTTTCCGAATCCTACAAGTGCGGTTTTGGACATTGACCTTTGTCGACGGTAAACCAACACAATGTAATCAGAAGAACATTATACAACAACACTTTCTTTCAAATGGAATCAGAAGTATGTAACCGTGGCCTTAACGATGGACTTTACCGTTTTGCAAGCGATCCTTATTATTTGATTTGACGAATTGCTGTCTTTTTTTTTCACGGAGCGCCGATACATATACACCTGCAGGCATTGCGATGTTAGCGACTACCATTAGTAAGAGCAGAAATACAAGATGAATTGTACGTCTCTAGTTATCTCCTGTCAGTAGATGTGCCCATCTTAAAGCATTTTCTTCCTCTACTCTCTTTGTCGGACTAAAATTTATCTACTACGTAGTATTCCACTCCACCCTGATTGATAAAATAATGTAACGCGTTGCATGGACGGTATTTAACTTGAACGAGTTCTAAAACTGTTGCTCAACGACGGGAGGTAAAAAATAAGAGAAAAACGATGTTCGAGACAATTGATGGATGACTGTTCTCATGAAAAGTGTTTAACTGAATATTTATCAATAACAAGAAATAAAGGAAAGTTTATAGTGGAAAACAAAAGACATATTCAGAGATATTTTGCTCCTATCTGGAGTGAAGTGTGTAAATATGGGTCCATTCAGTTTCCGTGAGCAAGCAAAGAACTTGAGCAAAAAAGTAAATTCGGACAAGTTGAACATCTATGCTACAAACGCACCCCCATAACACCCAACCACCCACACAAACACACGCACGTACGCACACTGTGTAGCCTCTACCAGGCGTCAGAGGCACCTGGGAATTTAAAGAGTAGAAATTGCCCAAAATAGACAGATAATACGCAAGTAAGGGAGTTGTTCCGCTAAAGAGTACAGTTTGTCGCTCTCAAGCCTCTAGGAGGTCGCAAATGTTCACTTCTGAAGCCTGGTACAGGCTATCTTTTTTTCAGAGTACGGCGTACCCCTTCTACATGTACATGGACATTGCAAATGTCCTTTAACGGTACCCCGTACTCAAGTAGCCACCACTTTTTCACTCAGCGTGTGCGGGAAGTTCGGGATTACTTGACAAAGTGCCGTGGCATTCTACTGTAATTTCTGGCACCTTAAGAAGAATCGCCGGAGTCCCCGGACTGCTGTTCCGATAATTGAAGAAAAGTCCAAAGTTGTAAAACCATTCATTACAGGACGTCCAGCCAGCTTTTTTTTGCTGTTGAAAATGCAGTGTTTACCGAAGAACTTTGCTGCACGACGTACGGTACCATGTATGGCAACAACTCGTTAACTATTGAACTTAGAGTACAAAAATGTTTAGAATAAAACTTAACATCAATACTTAATTACAATAAGGGCTAGTATAATATACTATAGTGGGCTAGTCATGACTAGTTTCGGTACTGTTTTCTAATACCAAAGCAGTACGTATAGTTTTTACATACTTACATAATTTTGCTTTGTGGGAGTTATCACATTTAATATCTCTTTTATATTTACTTGTTTATGTATTTCTTTAGTGCACAAAAAAAAAAAAAAAAAAACTAAAGCCTAGAGGGTGCTACCAAAACGGAAACGTTCTTTTAAGGTGAGTTAATATCAAAGCTATGTGGTTCTTGTGTTTTATTCTGCATGTTCCTTTTCCCGGGGATATTTACACAGACCAATGAATTCAAACAAAAGAGGACACCTGGTTTCTTTCTAGGATCGTCTCTCGTGCTAACACAGACCTACTCTCCAAGCAGAGGTTTGGGTTATCGGGTTATTTTTGACGTGTTTAAGGCTTTTCATCGGGGTTTCTTTTTTGCACTGGAATTTTTCATCACCCCAAACAACAACTCTGCCGGCACTCATCCCGGGGCGGGGCAAACCTATTCAAGAAATGTGATAGTGCTCCTTCCCGGGAACCATTGGGTGAAACAAAGACACTCCGATTTTAAAAAAAGCCTAAGAACACGCCAAAATAACCCCAAACCCAAACCTCTGCTTGGAGAGTATATGTACACACTTATACATGGGCATATCTTGAACGCCAGCCAAATTCTGCTTGCCGTATTTAAGTGCGAAAATTTGGTTAGAAAATATCACGAAACTGATGAAGAGGTCTCTACCAGAAACTGATGCCACATGCGGACCGCCCAGACGATAGTATCGTTGGACTTCACCGTGTGGTATTTATGCCGGGCCATTTGTCATGATATAAAAAACACTGTCACGGGGTGACATAACGGAAAATGACAGACTCGCAAGAAGAAGTCCCTATCGGGGTCCTTTGCATTTGTTTCTCAATGCTGTAAGAAACAGGGGGAGCGAGTAGAAACAGATACGAACCCCTGGTCCCGGGGTTCGAACCCACGACCTCCCGAGGACCAGCTTCTAATCCGACGTACCTACCGAATCGGCTAAAAGGTCTACCCATCGTCCGGGTCAGTTGGTAGCGCCTATAAACCCCCACTGTTGCAATGCAACTATGTACTAGGTTCAAACCCGACTAAATCTCTGGTACCCTGTCCGCTCCATGTGAGGCGTAGGGTTGCACCCATCTCCATTTCTTTAGCCCTTGGGCCACACATCACGAACTACCGTGAGCAGGGGGCTAGTCCGAATCCGCTGGTGTTGTCTGGTTGACTTGCATGTATGTACCATCTCTTAAGTCTGTTTTAACCCTGGCACCCCGCTTAATTTGTCAAATTCTGCTATCTGTTTTTCAGCAAGTTTAGCAGAGACTATAGAAGAAGCGATAATTCAGCAAGGGGTTTCTTAATTCCACCCTTCGGTTTACAGAATGGTGTCGTCAGTTTGTGCCACTGACCGGAGAACCTTTGAGTGACTGTTTCACATAGGAAAAGAGACGTTTCCATATCTTGCGATGTCTTGTTACCCTGTACCGTGGGACAAGAGTTGTCAGGGGAAAACAAAATTACTGCAAATTCGTGTAAAAGCACCACAGCGTGCTTTATTTTCCTGGAAGAGACCGATCCTTAGGATGTCATTTCAGACCTATCAGACACCTATTCGCGACATCGTGTCTGCATTCCCGTTGCGGCTAACTCTACTCCTTGAGCGGACCAACTCCCCCGGCATGTTATCTGCCTATTTGGTCAATTTCTACTCTTTTCAGTCGCTTCTCTTCCTCCCTACCGTTGCCTGATAGAGGCTAGCTGCACTCACCAATATCATGAATATGCATGCAGTAACTCAGACCAAGGCTTTAGCGGATTCGATAGCCTGGTACTTAAGTTACTTTTCCTGTGCTCTTAAACAAGAGACAGGGTGATCTAGCCTCTACCAACTCCACTGGCATGTTATCTGCCTATTTGGTCAATTTCTACTCTTTCAAGCCGCTTCTGTAGCCCGAAAGAGGCTATCTGCACTCACCAATATGCACTACTAACTCAGACCAAGGTTTTTGACGGATTCCACAATTAGCTTGCATGGGACCTCAGCTATTCTTCCTGTGATCTTCACTTCGACTGAGCTCTAAAGAATGCTTACAGTTGTTGAAGTGGTTTTGCATATTTCTTCGGTCTTGAGCGCAGAAGTAGTCCTAAAAGTTAACTGGAGGGGAAGGAAATTGGGTTTGTCTAGAACTCTGATTCCACCAGACTCAATGACTGTACGCCAAGGAAGCGATGGTCGATTTTTACCGCCCTCTCACTCTGATTTTGCCCGGCGTGCTTTTGGGTGTTTGGTGCGTGGGATAACTTAATCAACTTTCACAGTCTTACTGAGGCACAGAAAATCTGGCTCTGTTACCACAGTGAAACAGGACGCAAGTGTGATTTTCAGGCCTTTTTTTATCAAGAAGGTTTATTAGATCTCCGTAAGCAATACGACTCTATTTTCTATACTCGTTGTTGTTAACTACATTACTACATGTTCATTGCACGACAATTGTATCAAACACATACATGTCAACGTGTACATAACTGCAAGTTGAACTACAGTCAAACCTGCCAATGTGACCAACTCTTCAAGCTGGCCATGGAGACCACGGTCCCAAATATTTTCCCCATAGACGTGAGCATTAAGCGGCCTGTCCAAGGTGACCACCTGGCCAACGTGAGCGCGACCGCTCTGAGTTGGGTCCGGTCAAGGCCCGATACCTGCCCATGGCGACCGCGTCATTTTCGATCATGTTGATTATTGATGATTACTAATTATAATGAGAAACCATGGCACTATACTATACTACATTATACTGATACTACACTACTTTAGTATACTAATACTATACTATACTATACTGTACTATACTATACTATACTATACTATACTATACTATACTATACTATACTATACTATACTATACTATACTATACTATACTATACTACTTTAATCTATTCTATACTAACCAGTATTAGACAGCACATGTAACTACAATAAATAGTCACCCTATATATGTTTCATGACGCTAGATTTTATGTCATGTTGGTCTTGTCCCATCTACGTTAAACTTTTGAATTCTGTTTTCGGATTGAACTTAGTCCAAGTACATTAGATTCTCTACTATCAAGAATGATTCCTACAATTTTGTGCAAGCGTGACTTTGAGTCCGATACGACAACAAGAGCGAACTCTGCACAATTACACCTGTAGTACAGGCTTAGCGTATCTTACAGTGGAGTTAACGTATAGCTTCTTGTCTCTGCCTTTTTGACACCATGCCAACTCTTCAATGTTTTTTCACACCTTTAGTGGGTATAAAGATATTAGGGCATGCAAATAGTTACTACAAAGACTGATACTTCTAAATATTGTTATTGTACCTAAAATCGTTTAAAATTGGTTGTGCTCGCCTGTAACTTTCATCTTGAAATAGTAATTCCAAATTTGGTAACTACATAGGCTGATACTTACAAATATGGTAATATTTTACCTAAATTCTTAA